ACATTATGTTTGGGAGGGTGGAGGGACGGTGCAGAAGGGGAAGACCCTCTATGAGGTCGATTGATTCAGTGACTGGGATAATCGGGATAGGTGTGTCAGAGGCAGTGCAATTGGCACAGCATAGACCAGGGTTTAGGGCTGTTGTAGATAGGGTCGCTATGAGTCGCAAGCGACTCGATGACATATAACAACAACAACAACCTTGAGCATTGTGCTCTTTTAAGAACTATGTATGGGACAGAATTAACAACAGCAACTCTACAGCCGATAGGGAAGTTAGGGTACAATGAGTTTATGCTAACGGAGGAGGAACAGCTCAGAAAGGAGGGTGAGAATGCCTAGGCCACTTGACGACTGATCTGTTGTTACTGAACTGTATGCAGAGAAATTGCTGAATACACCTTCAACAGCAACAAAATAATAAGCTATTTCAAAAATACCAGATGAATCTTTGCAATGACAGCATTTTAATTTATTCTATTCTATCCACTTCTTTCCAAATCCTTAGACTCCTTGAAAATAGTGTTCTGCATTAAACTGCATCCCTCTCAAAAATATATACTAAAATTTTGATCATATAAGTTGGTCTTTTTTATATAGTGTTCTTATTTATTATAGTTTCCCCTATGCATCTTAAAATACATGACATTTTGGACTTGAGAAATTAGGATTCCTATATTAATAAATGAAACAGTTATTTAACTTTTTATTTGATGCCAAAAGGATTTGTTATAATTAAATACACACCCTATAATGAGAATTCTACATAGTTTGCAACATCGAGTCGGCAAAGCTCCGCATATGTATCTCAGTCCACCTTCCCCCCTTGCCTATGGAGAACATCACACATCAGTAATGGAACTTGGCAAGGATTAGGTACCGTTATTCTCAATGAAATGTTCTAGACAGTCATTACCAAATGATGGGATTTAATATAAAACAGGACCATACAAGTTGGTCTTGTAGTGAAAAGCAATGTGATGGTCTTACCTTCACAATACGCAATGGCCTTTGATATTTTAGATGTAATACAATCCAGTGGAATGTAATCTATCAATTAATTGTTTGGCATCATAACAACGTAGGCTGGATCCTATACCCATCACGTCTGATGTGAATACATTTTAGCTGGGTGTGTGTTTGTTTGGTTTTTTTTTAAACATAACAGTTCCATTTACCTAATGTTATCTCTTCCTACATCTAAGAACTGACAGAGCATAATTGAGGTCACTTTAACTTAAAGGACAGGGTAAATTTCTAGAATCGCTAGCTCCTGACTTGAAACTCACCTAAATGCTGTAACTTCACAGCCTGAAAAAGAATTCTTGATGCTGCTGTTGTGGAAGAGCTGGTTGAGCTGCAAGACAAGACAGAATTTCACAGGTCAGAATCTGAGGCCCATTGGCCTCGGTGAATTTCCAACCCCCTAAGCGCTCTTCCCTATTAGGTCTTTTTTTTGTTTCAACAAACACTAGCCCAAGTGCATATGCCAAATGACTTCCTATTTCAGGGCATGTTTTATCTGTGTGGCCCTAGGCCAACTAATGAAACTTGCTGCCCTGGTTTTGTTAATCTGTGAAATGGGACAAGAACTTGTCTTCATAACATACTGTTTTATAACAACAAGTGACTTATGTCCCTCTCTGACTATGTGGTGTTGTTGGGCCAACTTCTGCATGGGAACCAGTGTATCCAGAGCCCTATACTCACAGCATCCTTGATATTTCTCTTGTTCCGCTGGTGTTTGGTGGAGTTTGGCCAGGCTATGTCTTGGGAATACAGAAGGTTGGTGATGGTGAAATTCAAGCGGAAGTGCTGAAGGTTGGGGCTGCTTGTCGGTTTCTCTGTCAGAAGAGGAAGCGATGGCTCCACTTCTAGAAAATGAAAGATGCAAAACCCCCACATCAGGGGAGAAATCGTCTAATCATGAAGTTGTTACAACCAGCCTATTCTGTTTTTGATAATGTGACCTTAGCTGGCTTTTAAAAGATAGGTTGCAAAACAACTCTGAGATATCAGCTCACCCCAGTCAGAATAGCAAAATTTAACAGAACATCAAGCAACAAATGCTGGCAAGGTGTGGAGAAACCGGAACCCTTATTCACTGTTGGTGGGAGTATAAAATGGTGCAACCACTATGAAAGGCTGTATGGTGCTTTCTCAAAAAGTTGGAAATAGAAATACCATTTGACCCG